CTAAAACCTCTCTGAGCTCTTTAGAGTCAACGCCACTGGGTGAAGGGGGAAGTGGAGGCGCAGAGACGCGGCCCAGGTTCACGAGTTCGTTAGCATTATGATCATTTGTATTGCAGGCCCATCGAGCGGCCTCTGCTGTGTTTCGGCCCCGCTGTGCTAGGCGCTGCACGTATATTTAAGAGCCAATCCCAGTCCAGAAGAGCTTCCAAACTGAATATACAAGTTGGGCGCAGGAGTGGAAGGAAACCAGGGTCATTATATGCCTGTTTTACAGGGGGCAGCTGTGGCCCAAATCTTCCAATGAGATTTTCAAGGGCTCTGACTTTCCAAAGGGCTCCATGCAGAGCTCTCTGGATAGCGCTGGCCCAAGTGACAGTCCCAAGGTCGCCCAGGGAGTCAGTGGCAGAGCTGAGAATTTAACCTAGGACTCCCAGTCTCAGCCGAGCTCAGGGGGTGGCCAGCCTGTGGCTCCTGGCCTAGAGGTACAGACGCCAACTTTCCAAGGTGCCGGGGAGTCCTTACGGCTCCACTCCTGGCTCTGCCCCAGCACTTGCCCCCGCTGTCCTGCAGAGTGGGAGGCACAGGGAGGGAGGGCTTGGGCCAGGATGGGGGGGTGGCCGGCATAATTCCGTGGCTTGCCGTGTACATGGGTAAATTCTGGCTCCTTCTCAGGCTCAGGTTGGCTACCCCGATCTAGCTCGTCGGCCGTTAACCTCCAACCACCCTGCCCTCTGGTAGGACAGCCCTGCGGCCCCGGGACCCCTGCTGTGGCTCCGGGCTCCAGCAAGGTTTGCAGCCCCCTGTTTTGGAACCAAAAGAAGCATGAATGGTTGTTAGACCCAGCACAGGGGAGACAGAGGGTGGAACCATCCTCTGCTGTAAAACACCCCCCGAGGCACCTGTGCTGAGGCTGGGCTCAGGGGGCCGGGGGGATACCAGTGGCAGGGGAGATACCATATTCATAAACATCTAAAGAATTATTGAATCAAATTTGGAAGCTAAATTCAACCTTTAAAGTGTAAAGCAAATGGATTTTAATGTTGTTTGAAATGCAAATCTCAGTGGAAACTTTACAGAGTCACGACTGATGTCCATCTACTACTCATTTGAGAGAATTCGTTTTTCCTGCGTGTGTGTGTGTGTGTGTGTGTGTGTATAAAGGTGGATGGGTGGGTGGGGGGATGTGTGCATGTTCAAGTGTGCATGTGAGTGTGTACATGTCTGCGTGTGCCGTGTGTGTGTATGTCTGTGAGTGTGTGCGTGTCTGTGTGTGTGTGTGTGTGTGTGTGTGTGTGTGTGTGTGTGCACCCCGAACCTGGGATTTGGGGGATGCCACTCTGGGGCCAAGGTCTCTAGATCCGCCCTGGGCTAGAATTCACTAGGGGGCACCAAAGGATTAGGAAAATGATCTGGGCTGGAGTGCCAGCACAGGCTCCCCAAGGCTGTGGGGGGAGGGGAAGCCCTGAGCTTCCTCACTTTCCCCACTCCTGCTTTAAAGGGAGGGAGATAGGAGCACAGGCCAGGCAGACAGAACAGGCCTAATGCAGCCTCCTAGGGTGTGTGCTGAGCTGGGGCCGGCCTCTGAGAGATTGGGTGACCTGAACTAGCCGCATCTCTCAGTGCCAGCACAGGCTCCCCAAGGCTGTGGGGGGAGGGGAAGCCCTGAGCTTCCTCACTTTCCCCACTCCTGCTTTAAAGGGAGGGAGATAGGAGCACAGGCCAGGCAGACAGAACAGGCCTAATGCAGCCTCCTAGGGTGTGTGCTGAGCTGGGGCCGGCCTCTGAGAGATTGGGTGACCTGAACTAGCCGCATCTCTCGGCGCCTCAGTTGTTCTGTCTGTAAAATGGGGGCAATGTATGGATGAGAGCTGAGGGTCATGATGCTGTGAGGTTTAGGCAGCATGGTCCGGGCAAGTCACTTCCCCTCTCCATGCTGTGATTTCCCCTCCCACTCTGTGTGTCTTTGGGGCAGGGGCTGACTGGGTTTGGGTGGTGCCTCTTTTAACCTGGCCCAGAGCAGCGGGGACCTCTAGGAGCCACTGTAACGTACGTCAGAGGTGATGATAATTCTCAGGGTGTGTTGCCAGAGCACCCTAAACTCAAACTAAGCTACGCAATCGGCGCCATGCAAGTGGCGTATCGTATTGCGAATCTATTTCAAAATAGCTTATTGTGAAATTTGGGGCGACTACACAGGACCATATTTTGAAATAACACACTATTTCCAGACAGCCCTTAACCCGCATGGAACGAGGGTTACCGGGATGCTGAAACAGCGCACCCGTTATTTCGAAATAACCGGTGGCTTGTATAGACGCGGGACAGCTATTTCGGGATGCCTCCCAAATCCAGAGCGAGCTAGAGAAATTGAAAGGTTGCGGCAAAAGCAATCGGATGAGGTTCAACAAGGACAAGTGCAGAGTCCTGCCCTTGGGACGGAAGAATCCCAAACATTGGTACAGGCTGGGGGCCGACTGGCTAAGCAGCAGTTCTGCAGAAAGGGACCTGGGGATTCCAGGGGATGAGAAGCTGGATACGGAGAGAGATGGGAGGCAAATGATAAGGATCATTGGCAGGCTTCATAGATGGCTCCCCACCACAAAAGAACACGTGAAAGGTCATGCAAAGGAAAGAACTCTAGTGAGGGGAGAAGCTGTCAGAGAAACTGCAGATTAAGGCGGATTGATTTGGGGGTTTGGTCTCTTTGGGGCTTGTGACAGTGCGTTGGGGTCCCCCGCCTCCTGCACCCCCATAGTGGCACAAACAGACTCCACCAGCCAGTAGAACAGAGGGCATTTATTGCTTCTCCAGGATACAGCACAGCACAGATGTAATCTGGTCACAGGAACTGGGGCTAGGAGGCCTCAGTGCCCCCCTTGAGATGGGGGTGGCTGGTCCCTACAATCCCAGCCCCCTCCCTAGCTCCTTCTCCCCTGCTTCCCAGACTGAAACTAAAACTCTTCCAGCCCTGCCCCCCAGCCAGGGGCGCCATTCCACCTTCCTTTGTTTCTCTCCCTGGGGGGTAGCTGGTCGGACAGGTTGAGAGACCCTTGCCTAGTGACTCATCCCCTGCCCTGCTGGGCTGTGCTACAGCCAGTGGGGGTCACCCACAGCCCCAGCATAGCAACCAGCAAGGTACCAACACTACATCACAGCCCTATGGGGAGAGGCTGAGGGATTTTGGCTTATATAGTTTGCAGAAGAGAAGGGGGGGGGGATTTGAGAGCAGCCTTCAACTCCCTGACGGGGGTTCCAAAGAGGCTGGAGAGAGGCTGGTCTCAGTGGTGACTGATGATAGAACTAGGAGCAATGGGCTCAAGTTGCAGTGGGGGAGGTCTAGGTTGGATATTAGGAAAAACGATTACCGTAGGAGGGTGGGTTCCCGAGGGAGGGGGTGGAATCTCCATCCCTAGAGGTTTTTAAGTCCCGGCTTGACCAAGCCCTGGCTGGGGTGACTGAGTTGGGGTTGGTCCTGCTTTGGGCCGGGGCTGGACTCAGTGCCTGCCAGCCCTGGGATTCTACGCTTCTATCCCGAAATAGCCGTGCCTTATAGACATACCCTTAGCTCTTGTGTACGCCAGTCTAACCCCGTGATGTTCAGCGGAGTTACCGTGGACATCCAAATTGGGCATCGCCTGCTTTTCCGTCCCGTGGGAGGGACCGGCTGCGGTTTCCTCTCCCATATGAACGTGGGGAATCGCCCTTGCGCACCAGCTGCCAGAAGAAACCCTCTTGCCCATCTGTTGTTTTGGCTTAGAATTAAATTCCAGGAAACTCTCGGTTTGCAATGCCGTAGCGCCTGAATTGACTTTACACATCAGGCTGTTCACAGCCAACGGACGCTAAAAGAACACGTCCCACGTGGCCGATGACACGATGCTATTACCGGTACCTCTGGGCGCCATCTAGTTAAGTCAACCAGTGAGAATTGCTGGTACTCATGGCATCTGTGGGAAGCCGTTTCCGGGGCCTCGGAGTGCTACACGCAATGGGGACTGAATTCCAGAGTTAAGGTGTGAGCAGTGAGTTGTGTTGGTCACACGTTGTCTTGGAATCCTGTAGTGGAATAGCAAAGTGCATCTGAATTGCTGCCTCTATTCTTTGTTCTTTGTGGTTCCACCTTTCCCACCGAGTCCTGTGGTCCAGGAAGCCAGGTGACATCAAAGGAGTGACGCCAATCTAGGGATGTGAACGACAAGTCAACTAGTCGCGCCCCCTCTCCCCTGCTGTGTCTATCAAAAAGAGACAGCAAGGTGGGGGGAGAGAATGAGGTGCTTCAAAGCAGCCGCACCGCATGGAGCTGGGGGTCAGCTGGGGACTCCATGCAGCGCGGCTGCTTTGAAACGCCGCGTTGAGCCTGTCGCCCGGCTCCCTGTGGCGTTTCAAAGGGGCAGCGCCGCATGGAGCCTGGGGTCAGCTAAGTTCCCAGCGGATGCTGGGCTCCATGTGACTCTGCCCCTTTGAAACACTGTGGGGAGCACACAGAGCTTTTGGCTTTGAAGTGTAGCAACAGCCCTGGGGTGCAAATTGCATCGACTAGTCGATTAGCTGGTGAATCTAAATGTAACATCCCTACACCAGTGAGGTCTGGCCTAGGCAATGCTAGGGATGTTAAAAAACAGTGATTAGTGGAACCGTGTGGCCGTTAAAACTTGTAGCGGTTACACGCCGCCTCCCTGGGAGCCAGCCCGGGAGCTGGTGTGTAACTCCTTGGGTCACTGATAAGCTTTTTACTTACCAGTGATCTGTTTCAGTGGTTACACTCTTCCATCCCTGCTCAAAGCATGTTTAGACGACACTGCATGGAACGGTGTTAGGGCACAGGGAATGGATTTAAGCCATCCCTTTCAGCTTGGCTGTCCCGAATCCTGCAAGCAAATCTACGCCGCAGCGAAAGCACCTCATTTGATGCCTCCACGTAACGAGGCAGCCTGTCCGTGCGGCCCTCGTGTGGGAGAATTTGCCTCCGTCCTTCTGCGGCACCGGCGCGCGCTCCGAAAATGCGCTCTCCAGAGAGCTGGTCTTCCCGTGCTTGTGCGAAATGGCGACTTTCCGGGCCTGCCATGTTCCTGACCCTCCTTCTCGTCTTGGCCGGGGGGGCCCCATGTGCCCACGTGGGCTGGCCGGTGCGAGAACGGGCCAGCTCCAGCCCCCCGGGCGGTGGTGCGCGTTGTGAAGTTCCACCTGGGGTTGTCGGCTGCTCCAAGGTGAGCCAGCTGGCCAGGGTCTCCCTGCCAGCGGTTTTCAGACTTTTTTTCTCCTTGACCCAGTGGAAGAAGGTCGTTGAGGCGGGAGTGTGGGTTCTGGTGAGGAGGGGCTTAGGGTTGTTAGAAGGGGCTCTGGCTTTGGGGGGGGTCTGGGCTGGGGCAGGAGGGGCTGACCGTGAGCA